GGGTGGGAGCTTCCCAGACCTTACTCTCCAACCTTGAAGGAGTTCAAAAGTGTCTCCGCGCTCTTGTGGGCAACAAATTATTCCGCAAACTTCAACCTCTCACCCAAAGGCAGGATGTGCCAAGCCACTCACTGCTCTACTGGTACTTCTACAGAAAGTGCTTGGACGAAATACATTCCCAAGTCAAGCCTTCACAGCAAGAACACACCATGCAACTTACATAGTAGCAAACCACCCACATTCTCCCCGTATTCCATTGGTGAGAAGCAAGTTCCACTTAAGCAGCTTCTTCCTGTAAACCGCCTGCTCTGTGGCACCAATTCCCAACAGGATGTTTCCCAATCACTCCTATACAAACAAATGACCTCCTAATGTAACCCTCTACCTTCAGTTAAGAGCTTTGTAAAATACCATGTAAAAAAAAAAAAAAAATCTCTTTCTAATTATAAAAAAAAAAAAAAAAAAAAATCTCTTTTTCTAATGAAGCCCTAATAAAAGCAAAACATGTCAGATTGATAAATATTTCCTATTTGCTCTTTATATATATATATATATATATATATATATATAATATATATATAATATATATAATATATATATATAATATATATATATAAATATATATATATAATATATATAATATATATATATATATATATATATATATATATATATATAATATATATATATATATATATTATAATTATTTATTTAAAAATATGATTCCAAATCGCTATAAGAGGTCTCATGTTTCAAAACAAGACAAAACTTAAATAATCAGTTTTAAATTAAATTGAACAGAATTGAGTAAAATAAAATGGGCTCCGTTCCATCTTCAAGCCAAAATTTTGTTGGAATAACGTATATCTGAAATTTACTTGTTTTAAAATTGAAATCAAAATCCCCATGGTAACAGCTATGGTGAATTGTCTAAATTGGGTAGGCGAGTGTAGGGTGTTTATAATAAGTAGCGGTATAGAGATACTTTCAAGGTGTCAAGTCGGGGAAAGGTGGGAGTGTCTAAAATGACTTCACTATCAAAATATTTTTGGCACCTGAAGGAAATAAATAGGACACCAAAAGTTAAATGGAAAATCATTGACAAGGCTAGAACATGTAAAGCTTGGGATGACCCATGCCCTTTGTGCCTCCATGAAAAATTGCACATTATTAAACTTCTAAATAATAATAATCTATTAAATAATAGACACGAGTTAACGGTTTTTGTAGGCATCATCAGATTTTTTGGTTTGAATTATTAGATAAAAAAAATTTATATAACTTGTTTTAACAAATAGCCCAATCATCAGATTCATAGTAGGAATAATTAACTACAAACATGCTTACAACATAACACACTTCATAATCCATAGCCTGAATTAGTAGTTCAAATACCTTACATATAAGATAACCCTTTATGAAGTCGTCAAAAAACAAACGTTACGAAAGTTTTTTTTTTTTTTATGCACAATTCCTTTCATAATAAAATAAAATAAAATAAATAAATAAATCTCCATAGACAAACAAAAACTAGTTTATCTTCCAATTCATTTTCTATTTTCATTTTCCACTTAGGGACAACCAAAGTAAATCTAGTCAACCCTAATCCCAAACAAATGCAACAAGCCTCCATATAATTTGGACATTTTCAGAGACAGTTGAGATAACCAAAGACCAGGAGACACAAGAAGAAAAGACAAAAACACCAGTAAATTGTTCATATACGTTATGATAAAAAAACATTGTCTTGACATGAAAACCAGAAGTTAGGAAATTTAAGTTCAATTAAAATTTAGCTGCAGATCTGAAGAGGTTAAAAGTCTTGTTTTGATCATAACACCTCTTAAGTTGGAACGGTTAAAATCATATTTTACAACAAATAATATATAAAACCAAATTGTTGCTGGATTTTTAACCTGTTAATTCTTTATTCCAAAGGATTCTTGTTTTTTGTGTAGCTACCAAATGGTTGAAACGTCTTCACTCTAAGTTTGCTTCATCAACAATCTTCTCACCCTGTGAGATCAAAAGCACAATGTGAACAGACAAACACCAACTAAGTCAGGTGGAACTGTGCCACCAATACAATAACAATGTTAAAATGAGTCACGCTAACATGTGAAAAGTCAGCTAAATGGTAAACCACAGCAGTTTTAAGGAACTTGAGGACCAATGACTCGGTGACATAATTGGTTACTGCTGTCTAGATGGATATATATTTTGTTACCACTGATAGGGTCAACACAGTGGTTATATATTTTAAATAAAAACAGTCCACTTTAAGGTTCCATGTAATAATTTAAAACTCATAGTAACAGAAATTCTTATTAGGTTTCCAGGAACAGATAAAATGTCAGATTTTGAATGCTAATTTTTCAAAGAAGGCTGTTTATAATTGGAAGATTGCCATAATATAATTTTAAATACAACCCAAAAAGCAGTTATATTTTATATATATGGTAAATTATGCTACATCTACAATGTACATAAATATATTTATTTTATTAACCTCCTGGTTATTAATGTAATTGTTTATATATTAATTCCATAATATATATTTATGTATATAGATTCAGAATAAAAGTAATTGACATGGAAAAATAGGCTTGGTATGTTGAATTCAAATTTTAGCTGAAGTATTTGCATTTACTTTTGCACAAAATCCTTGTGAAAGGTTTGAATTTGTTTTTCTCCAGTTAAGGCAGATTGCATTTTCTTGTAGCATTGGTTAGAATTTAAATTAAAAAAAAAAAATCCATTGCTTATATATATCTCTTCAAAGACTCTCCTAGCTAGTGTTTAAGAAGGTTAAAATGAGCTATGTAGCATTTGACGACAACTAGTCTTTGAGAATGACAAAGTTGAATTCAGACCCAATTGTATTTTTTGATACGTTTTCATGCTTGAAATATATCTTCTTGGCCTGAACATAAGCTTGAAACAGATTGTCACTGCTTGGATGTTGACCTAAGTGCTTTTTTATATTCAAATATGCTCTATCTCTAATATTGTGCACTTCTACCCATAAATATAACATACCTTAGAACTATATTTTTATCATATATATTTTTTTTTATTGATGAAATTTTTTTTCTCACGGAACCTGAGCCTACTGTACAACAATTTAGCAATTTAGCCAACCCACAGTGTTTTTTTTGTTTTTTTTTTGCCCATTTTCTTTGTCCTCTGCATTGGTGTACTTAACCTTGGGATTTTAAAAAAATTATTCCCCCCCCCATGATGCTGTTAAGGCAATTCATCAGTTATATAGAGCTCACACCTCCCTTCTTTCATTTCAAGTTGTCTGAAGATCATGTAATTTATATACTAACAGTTTCTTCTCTCACACTTCTCACATGTGGAACTCTCTTCAGGCTTCTTGCTTCCCAGTTAATTTTCATCATTTATGTTCTTCATTCCTCTTCTTAAATTGTTCTCTCTCCTTAATTGTGTTTTTTTTTCTCATATAACCCCATGCATTTTAATTTTGCCTTGCTTGGAGAGAAATGATTAAAAAAAAATATATAGGTTAGAAAGTTAATGCATTATTATTTTCTAGGAACTATACGTGATCTACCCAAAGTATAAAAAAAGAAATTGTAAAAAACAATTGTAAAAAAAAAAAAAAAAAAAAGTTATATTACAATAATAATGTCTGATACGACTAATAAATCATCATCATCAGTGCTGTTTCAACTTGAAGACACACTGCAAATCAGTGCAATAGGTTCACTTATTGTCCAGTTCACACTCCTCCCTAGTTTTCTGAACATGGGTAGTGGTTTATTACTGGTTTTCTGTTTAGGATTGGGTTTCTAATTCCTTCTAAAATCTTTCCTTCTCTTTAACTTCCAGTAGTCACTTGTGTCTCGGTGACATTATCACATTGCTTGAGGTGGTCCCTCTTACTCTGTAACCTTCTACCTCGAGTGGCTCTTGGGCCTTGTACAAGGTAAGCATTATTGTAAGTATAAGTGTACTTTTTTTGAAGGACTTTTTAATTTTCCTTTTACATATATACAACTTTTATGGCCTTTAGGTGAACTTAAGTTCATAAAGTGTTTCTAAGAAATTTCCTAACTATTTGTCTTTCCACTATATTTAAATCTGACTATTCTTTTTTTTTTTATGGGTGTTACTAGAAAACACCCTTTAATAAACTCTTGCACACTAATGCACACAAATAAATACATTTTGTCGAATAAAAACTGTTACACTGCATTCTCATATTTCCACTTGATATATTTTTCTTCCTTGTTGACTATCACCTTTATAATTTGTTAACTGAAGACATTTTAAGACCAAAATTTCTTTCTGAATTACATTATTCAATTTTTTTTTCCTCTATTCTTTTCCTTCCCTAAACCATGTAGTTTTTATCTGTGCATTTATTATTTTTTTTTTTTTTTTATTTTTGTACTTTTCCTTCATCATAATACTCAATACCAATTCCTACTCCTTTTGCCATCACAGCATATTGAAACATGGCTAAAAAATTAAAAAAAAAAAAAAAACAAAACATTATCATTATTTTTGTTGCTTGTCCTAAGGTTCAAACTGTAGATTGTTAGATGTTTTATTTCTTTTTTTAAAAAATACATTTTCCTTAAGTCAACACAGTGCTTCAGTGAGGACGTAAAAGTATGTGAAAAGTAAAGTGTTCTTTTTCTCTTTCACCAAACATGCAGCTATACATCCCATCAGTCTACAACATCACCAGCTCATCTATCAGCAGCACCATAATCACCGAAATTAACCCCCCAACCCATCCTTGTCAAAGAATTACTCAAATCACATCAAAAACAAATTTTATTATGGCTTTCTCACCATGCTTTCTGTGTAAACACAATTATCATCGGCCAACACATATGGACGCAAGGAATTTGCTTCTCAATTTTATAAATGGATTCCGCGGTGAACTTTTTGTGATCTTGATACAATTACAAGTGGCATTCCACAAATGAAATTTTAAAAGATGAAGCCCTATATATTGGTTATAATCAGAAAGTAGGGGAAGGTGATGGTAGAAAAAGAAATGCATGGACAATTGGAAAGAAAATGAAAGAGGAAGTGATAGAAAAAATTAGGATGGCGAGGAGATGGATGAAAGAAAGAAAGGTGTGAAGATGAGGAAGATAGAGAAAAAAAAGTGCTAAATTGATGTTGGAGAAAAACAAAGAAAAAAAAAAGAGAAAAACAAAGAAATAGTAAAAGGAAAAGAAGACACGAGTGAAAGGAAAGATACTGACAGACATTGAAGCGTAAGAAAAAATGAGGAGACAACAAAAGAAATGCAAAAAGAGAATGTTCTCATTCTCTTCTGCATTTCTTTTGCATTTCATTATCTTTTAGGCAGTAATGGATGAACAATAGAAAAGAAGCTTAGAGAAAAACAAGAGAGATAACAAGATGGAACATATAGAGGCAATGATAGTAGAGGAAGTGGAAGGACTTTGATCTGAAAGAAAAAGCAAAATAAAAAGCAAAGAATTGTGACAGGAGCAGACAGACAGTTACTAAAGAATCTATAGAGAGTAGATAAAAAAGATAGATGATAATAAGTTGGAAAATAAAACAAATTGATGAGAAATGAATAAGAAAGAGACAAAAGCAAACTTAACTCATGAGGGTGGGGGGAATACAAGGGAGAGAATATCATATTGGTAGAAGTGAATGGAGTGTAGGTCAGAAACTAAAAGAAAAAGAAAACTAAGGAATAGGTTGAGGCAATGGATTAACTGGTTGGTGGGGAGAGCTGAATGAATGAGATGGTTGAATGAGGGTGAATTACATAAGGGTAAAAGAGTATAGATTCAAAAAGGTGAAAGGCAGAAGAGGAATGAATGGTAGCAGAAAGGTTTTATCTATGTATATACCTATATGATATAGAATTGGTTGTGAAGTTCTCAAAAAATAAATAAATAGAAATAAAAAGAATGTGGAAGTCAATAAATGTAAATATGAGAAGATATTAAAAGACAAAAGAAAAAGAAGTTGTAATCAAAGAGAGAATAGAGTGAAAGAAAAACAAAAGCCCGAAGCCATGATACTTTCACAAAATGTGCAATTATATATTGAAGAACATTAATAGGGAACGGCATGTTTGTTTATTAATTAGACATTAAATCAATCCACCAAAATTTGCATTTTTGTTAATTGACAGTCCTTTTGGGAAATTGCTGGTAATCACTTCTTAATAGAATGGTGGATTTATATAGGTTTCCAAAGAAATTAAGACATGGTTTATATTTATTTTGAGCATTTCCAAGTCATGAGAAGAAGAAAACAAGATAATGCAAAAGCACTTCACAGCCCAAATGAGACAAAATTTGTATTGTTACTTAAGTTTCACATTCCTGCAATCATCAGAATAACAGTCTGTGAGTGTGTATATATATATATATATATATATATATATATATATATATATATAATATGTGCATGTATATATATATATATATATATATGTGTGTGTGTGTGTGTGTGTGTGTATATATATATATATATATATATATATATAAAAAAACACCAAAATGGATAAATATAGGTAGGTATATGACCAAGTGATTGCATACAAATACAGAACAGTGTTCAATGTTATAACAGAGTTATTTAATACATATATATATATATATATATATATATATATATGTGTGTGTAAAATAGCAGGACAGACCGGGTTCTATAGCCTTGGATGGCAACTGGTCTAGGAGAAGGACAACTCTGAATTCAAAACCTGAGGAGGGTCGTTTGGGAACCTTGTGGCACGTAGTGCACCAGGTTCTGTATTCGGCCCTTCAAAAAGTGTGGATGGTCCTGCACGAAACCTTCACCACTATAATCGAATCTCATGTGCCGGTGTCGGGCTGTCAGTTTCCTGGAAACTGATCTGCTTGACCCTCATACGTCGAACCCGATGGGAGAATCGATTTTTATATATATATATATGTGTGTGTGTGTGTGTGTGTGTGCATATATATTGTAATGGGCATGGCCTGTCTCTCCAACAAAAGCAGCACAAAATCACCTGTGCCATACAGTCATGTAAATTACCTAGTGCCTTTGGACTAATTAAATGCCTGTAGGTGGACATGAAAAAGTCTGCATAACTGACTGAGGCATACATAAAAGCATGCAGATTTTTTTTTTTTTTTTGACAGAAAACAAAGATTTCATTTCCAGCTATCTCTGTGGGACATGATTACCAGCATCCTGAAAAAGGGGCTGGAAATCAAAAATGTAAACCAGTGTCTTGCAGCAATCTTTCTTGAAAGGTGCCCACCCAAGGAAATCCTGACAGACAGACAGCATTCAACAGGAGGAAGTTCAGGACATTTGCTGAAGATTGGGGCAGCCAACTGCAATTCCGACGTACATATGCGCCATCTGAAAACAGCATTGCTGAACATTCACATAGAACCATAAAGTGGATTGCTGCCAGGAAGCAATGGTCTGCCCAGAAAGCAGTTTACTGGTATAACATTACACCAAAAGATGGTGTTCACAATGAGACCACTCCAGCCAATGCATTGTATTCCTACATTTTGGGTGAAATGTGTTGATAACATCGTGCTGCGCTGGAGGCCATAGAAGAAACCGTTGAAGAGGTGAGTGAGCCCGTTGTACCAACACTTCGGAGAAGCAGCAGACACCAAGAGGCCTCCATGCCCCAATTGATATGTGATCACATGATCAGGGAGAAATGTAAAAGTCATGGCCTATCTCCACAATGAAAAAGGTACAAAGTCACCTGTGCCATATACAGGCATGTAAATTACCTAGTGCCTTAGGACCAATTAAATGTCGGCAGGTGGGCATGAAAAATTCTACATAACTGAAGCACACATAAAAGCCACCAGATTTTCTTCTTTGCAAGAAAAGAAGGATTACAGACATCCAGCAAGGAACACATTCAAAACAAGACAGCTGCGATGTTCGAGGAGAAAGACACTTACATGATCTTCAGATAACTTGAATGGAAACAAAAGAGGGGTGAGCTTTATATAACCCATGAAATGCACTAAAAGGGGGGGGGGATATTTTCTTTAAAAACCCAAGGATAACCACACCTATACAGAGGAAGAGGAAAATAGGCAAAGAAAAAAATCCTGTGAGTTAGCTACCGACAAATTGCCGTCCTTTAGGCTCATGAGGGAAGAAAAAATTTACACCAATAAAAAAAAAAATATATATATATATATATATATATATATATATATATATATATATATATATATGTGTGTGTGTATGTGTATATATATATATATATATGCTGGTTGGACTCTCCCATCATTTTTTCAATGTATGAGAGTCAAGCAACTCAGTTCCTAGGAACCGATACCTGCACATTTGATTATAGTGGTGAAGGTTTTGTGCAAAACCAAGCACACTTTTTGAAGAGCCAAATACAGAGGCTTAGTGCACAACGTGCCACAAGGTCCCCAAATGACCATCCATGGGTTTTGAATTCAGAGTTGTCCTTCTCCTAGACCAGTTGCCATCCAAGGCTATAGAACCCAGTCTGTCCGGCTATTTACCCATAGCTGGGGGGGAGGAGGAGGAGAAGAAGAGGAGGATTCATACTTTTCCCAAAGGGATTAGCACGTAAGTGAATGTAATGGATTCGACTGGAATTCGAACTCAGCTCTCTGATTCCTCAATCCAAGCCACTATCCATTACTCCACCATGCCACCTCTAAAAAAAAAAAAAAAAAAAAAAATATGCAACACTTCACTAATTTGCGTGTCATCCTTGCACAGGGGCCATGCTAATCTTCTCTGTATTGTTCCAATTTTAGTATATGTACTGCCAAAGCAGTGTATATACATATATATAATAAAAATATAGTTCTAGGGTATGTTATATTTATGGGTAGAAGTGCACAATATTAGAGATAGAGCATATTTGAATATAAAAAAGCACTGAGGTCAACACCAAGCAGTGAAAATCTGTTTCAAGCTTGCTTCAGGCCAAGAAGATTGCATTCAAGCATGAAAACGTATCAAAAATACAATTGGGTCTGAATTCAGAATTGTCATTCTCAAAGACTAGTTGTCTTCCAATGCTACAGAGCCCAGACTAACCTTCTTAAACACTAGCTAGGAGAGTGGAAGAATATATATAAGCAATGGATTTTTTTTTTAATTCCACAATCTAACCAATGCTACAAGAGTGCAGTCTGCCTTAACTGGAGAGAGAAGAAACAGATTCAAACCTTTCACAAGGATATGTGTGCAAAAGTAAATGCAAATACTTCAGCTAGAATTTGAATTCAACATACCAAGCCTATTTTCCATGTCAATTACTGCTATTCTGAATCTATATACATAAATATATATTATGGAATTAATATATAGACAATTACATTAATAACCAGCAGGTGTAATAAAATAAATATATTTGTACATTGTAGATGTAGCATAATTTACCAGAGCACAAAAATATGAACTGCTTTTGGGTTATGTAGGAAAATTATATTATGGCAATCTCCCAATTATAAACAGCCTTCTTTGAAAAATTAGCATTCAAAATCTGACATTTTACCTGTTCCTGGAAACCTAATAAAAATTTCTGTTACTATGTGTTTTTATTATGCTTATACCAGTGTCCAGGCTTCTTTTATTGAGATACTATTTCCAGGTAGGTTGCCAACCAAGGCTTAAACAGCTTGCTCATTAGGTAAGGACTTGTGACTTTGTACTAGCACAGCCATTGACAGCTTCCAAACATTATATCTACTCAATTTCACTCGCAAGGCTTGGGTCAACCTATGGTATAGTTCTTTTCAACAATTTTTTTTTAATCATTTGATTTGATTGTTTATTCAAAGTTATTTAAATTTATTTAAAGCCAAAAAATATTTTAAGATTGTAATAGATTTTTGAAGATAATAATGATTTAGTGCTACAAGTCCTACAAATTAACCCATAGCTAAGGGGAGAAGAAGTGGATTCATACCGTTCCACAAGAATATTTGTGCATAAGTTAATGTAATGAACCCAACCGGAATTGGAACTCAGCACACAGATTTCCATTTCTGGAGCATTATCCATTACACTACCTGGTATTCACAAGTGTTCACCCATCTAAGTACTGGCATCTTCAATGTTGCTTAACTTTGGTGATCATATGAGAACTGGTCTTTCAATGTGTTAGGACCATTAGACTTAATCATTTCAATACAAGCAAGAATACAAAAAAAAGAAAATATTAAGTAGAGAGAACAATAAAAGCACGAGAATTAATAAGACAGGATAACAATTGACATTGATTTTCAAAAATTTAAATGCAAAGTTGACTAGAAAGCAAAGAAGCCAGACGAGAGCTCGACAATTGAGAAGTGCAATAGAAGAAACTTTTATCATAGAACCTTTGGTTACATCTACCAATTTCAACTGTAAAACGATGAGACCTAGATGCCAATCTAGTACAGCACTTAAATTCATAAAGTTTACGTATCAAAAAGGAAAATTCATCACAATAATTACTATGAATATATTTATAAAAAAGGCACAGGGAAGTTATGCTAGAATGGTTGGAAAATGACTGAAGCTGAGATACCAGGTCAGGACTAATAACATTTGGTAGGTAGTGTTTCTTATTGTCTTGCACACTTTTTTCTTTATTTTTACATTCAGAATGCTTTAAAAATTCCATTTACAAGACAATTGTTTATAATAAAATTCTATTCAATCGGTAGACTCATAACGATTGAAAACAATGTTTTTGTTCGAGTTTGGGTTTGACCAATTCAAAAAAAAAAAAAAAAAAAAAACTAATTAAGACATGCGTGTCTGTCAACCTTAAACAATAATCTTTGTCAATTTTATTTTTCAGTTTTTATGATGGTTGATACTTGATCTATCTCTTACTGTTACATCCCCGGGCAATGCCAGGCTCTACTGCTCGTCATGGAATATGATACGAGTGTTTAAACATTCTTGTCAATTTGAAAGCTTTTGATTTATGACAATGACATGATCAAAATTGTTATACTATTTAAAGGAATTTTATAATAGTAGACATACTAAACATATGGTTTATTTAGAGTGATGCTGAGTTACAAATAAGATGTAGTGATAAAAAAGAGACCATTTTATTTGGTAAAGAAAATAAACAAAAATTTAAAGGGTTTCAAATTGAATCAAGAGTTTGGTTACAATAAAATGGTAAACACATGAATAAGAAATTAAAAAAAATAAGACAAATTTAAGCATAAATATAAAGAACAGTGAGTGCAGTTGAAAGAAAAGGAGGACTCGGTATTTAATTGGCCTTTTCATTTTGCATTGATGGTGGTTTGAATAGTGGGTCTCTTTCCCAGTGATTACTTTTATTTTCCAATTCTGTTTATGACTTGATACCTGACAAAATTATGAGTGACAGAAACACTCCCCCACCATTCTGCATCACATTAATTTTTTTTCAATCATTTTTTAATAATAATAGTTTTAGATGGAAAGCCTTCAGTGCAATTTTCTTTATTATATAATTGAATAAAAAATATGAAAAAATAAATAAATTAATTTTTACTCTTCTCCCTTATTTGTGTGTGTGTGTGTGTGTGTGTGTGTGTGTGTGTGTGTGTGTGTGTGTGTGTATATATATATATATATATATATATATATATATATAGATAGATAGAGAGAGAGAGAGAGAGAGAGAGAGATTATATATGTCATTGTATTTATGCTCTTAATAATGAGTTGTAGAAGAGCTCATGATGCAATACCAATAAAACTTGCAGACAGTTGAGAAGAAAATTACCTACATCTGCACATATACACAGAAAAATAATATTATAAAAAAAAAAAAAAAAATTTTTAAGAAAATATTAATCACAATATATTATACATCCCCAAGGATATTATTTTTTTTCATTTCTCATCATATTCTCATATAATAGCATATTGGAAAATATTTTGGCTATCCAATTTTTCAAATATATTTGTTATTATTTTGTTTAGCACCTCAGAACAGGAGAATGAGAATGATTCTTCATGCATTTGCATGTTCATATTACCTCAATATTTTCACCAATATTCCCAAAGCCTGAAAAGTTTCAATCTCCAATTTCTGCAATCTCCCTTCTATGATATTCTTCAGAACAGTTCTCAGTGCAAGAAATTTGATAGGCATAAAGTTAACTTTTATATTACCCTATTTCTTCAGTACTCAAGTGAAGTCCTGGTAATTTTGCAATGCTCCCTAACCTCAGCTAATATTCAAAATCTAACATCTCTTTTCCTGGTTATCAAGAATCATGCTTGGGCTTCTTAGTTGGATAAAACAGACTAAAAAATCTCAGAATGCTTTAGTATATTTTATTTTTTCAGGATAGGTTCTTATTTAGACTCATGCCTTTTTGTCTACAATATTAATATTTGCACACAGGTTGTAATTAGTGGGAAGAAAATGAAAACTAAAAGGATCCTCATACTTAAAAACAGAAAGACACATTATGAAGAAAGAGGACTTGGAAAATTTAACACTCATAGGGCATTTTTAGTAAAGGTGGTGCAAAGGGAAACAGTGAGTAACCTACCTAATGAGTTCTGTGAATGAATAGTAGCGTGGGGATAAAGAGGGATGGTAAAGAATCAAAGGGACAGGAAGTTGTGAAGATTCATGATTGCCTATATCCTGAAGGGACACAATCATACATAGTGGTTAAATAGAAATGGTCCCTACCATTGACAAAGTGGGATGGTAAAGAGTTGAATACTGCTTAGATCTACAAGCAACAGGAAGCTTTGGAGAGCCATGATCATCCACATCCTGAAGGAACATGGTACATAAAACAAGAAATAACTGACAACTTTCACAAGATATCAAATGATAACAAGTCTCCTCAATACCACAAGAGCATGTTTTTGTATTCTAGCTAATTCTAGCAATGCTGTCATTAAGATGCTTCCGTATTTTTTTTTTCAATCTTTTTGCAAGCAACTTCATTACTGTAAACAATCTATTAATGATGATGGTGACAATTTCTTGACATAAATATAATTCTGTTGTTAACCAGGGCAAAGAATGGCTTGTTAATTTTAATGCCTCCAAAATTAAAACTAATCATCTGCAAGAGCCTTTTTTTTGCTTTCCATCAGAATGGCTGATGCTAACCTCCATGAGGGGGATTCATTACCTCTTCTCAGACTAACATCTGCTGACAAGATTATATTGAATCAATTGCTAGGTCTGCTGCTAGTAAAGTTGGTTCACTGTATCCTGCTTGACAGTTTTTCTTGTCAAAATCTATCTTAATATTTGTAAGTCTACTATTCTTCCATGCTTTAGACATAGCTGCCACGTCTGGTCTGGGTGCTTCTGTTATACATTTAGAGGTTCTTGATAAAATCTAAAGAAGAATTTGTAATATTATAAGTCCTGATATGGCATCTCAGCTTCAGTCCCTTTCCCATTGCCATAATGTAAGTTCCCTGTGGCTTTTTTATAAATACTTTCATGATAATTGTTCTGTTTAACTTTTCACTATGGTACCCAGACTTTATTAATTTAAGTGCCATACTAGATTGGCAGCAAGGCCTCATTCTTTTACAGTTAAAATCACTAGATATAACTGTAAGTTCTATGCTAACAGTTTCCTCTCCCACACTTCTTGATTGTGGAACTCTCTTCCTGTCTCTTGCTTTCTAATCAACTTTTATCTTCAAAAATTTAAATGCAATATCAATCATTATCTTCTTTCTTTCCTAATTTCTCTCACCTTAACAATTTTTTCTCATATTCTCTTACATTCAGTAATGCCTTGTATCTTAGTAAAATTGCTTGGGGTGAAATGAAAAAAAAAAAAAAAAAAAAAATGATCATTATTGTTATTATGACAAGATGGATAAGGAAAGATGAACATTCAGGTTAAGTTGGTTGATTTTATGACATGCCAACCCTTGTTGGATTATTAAAAAGTCAAATTTTGTATGAGGTCATTCACTTCTCAGGAGTAAAGGTCAATCAGACTAGCTTTGCTAACCAGGAGAAAAGGAAGTCGAGAAATAGCTGCTAACAATTAAAAAAAAATACAGCTGAAATTTTGGGCCCACATAATGAGAAATGTCAGCTTTGAAAATTTAATTCTCTTTTAAATTTTTACTGAAGGCAAGAAAATCAGAGACAAACAGCAAGTAACTTGAGAAATTTAAGCAAACAGATAGCAAAACAAGTATCACAAAAACAAAGAGAGGGTCATAAAGTAAAAAGTAAAGATAGGAAGTTGTGGAGAACCACAATAGCCCACATTCTGAAGAGACCTAGTAGAGAGGCAGAAAGGAAATGTAGCATTTATATGTCTTTGAATTAAAAATGCAACAGATAAAAAGAATACAATTTAAAAAAAAATACCTAAATATTCTTCTGTTCCTAACTTCAAAAGCTTTCATTAATCATGTAACAGTAAACATTTTTGTGCAAATATTTATAATTTTCTATTCAAAAATCACAGTTTATCATAATATTATTAGCATTTAAGACAATTATACAACAATTAGAAAATGTAATTCTAAAAAAGGAAAAAAATACACTTCTTTTTCAAAAACTCATTTTATAGTCTTTATGGTAGTAGTAATATTAGCCGTTTCCTTATAAGGAAACATTTGGCATGCACTGACCAAGCAACTAGTTCTACTTTCAGTTGAAATTTATAAAATCTTTCTATTAAGACAATTTTTCATGAAAATAAGTTTCTCAAATCTAGTAATTGTTATCCCTCTTTCCAGTATTGATGGGGGCTTCCTTCCTTTTAGTGTGGCACATCAACATCTGGATTAGATCATTATTCTCTCCAAGTTTTCTTTACTTTTTTAAAAAAAAAAAAAAAAAAAATCAATTCACCCCAAGCAAGTCGATAATGCCACTAAGACGCAAGGGCTACTGGGAGTGAAGAAGAATGAAAAGACATTAAAAGGAACCAGAAACCCAATCCTAAACAGGAAAGAAGAGATAAACATCTATTTCTATTCAAAAGACTGGGAGGAGTGTGAACCGGATGATAGGCAAACCTATCTACTCCTATTGAATTATATGTGATTACTGTTGTTGACAGTCCTCAAATGCTGTGGTTTCTGTTATTTGGTACGGTTCTTTGTGATTCACTAGCACCAGTCTACAAGGTTTGAAGGAGGATGGTCCTGGCTAAGATCTACAGGTTTCACTTGCATGAAGCCATTTTTAATCATTGATCTGAGAAAATGATTGTATACAGCTGATAATTTAGATATTTCTGAATGAGTTTGATATCATGCATGACATCCATATGAAAGTCTTGATCTTATGAAACAATTTAGAACATGACTCCAGTTTTATGATTCCCATAAATTATTAAAATGTCCAATAATCCTAACATTCAAGTATAAAAGCATTTTTATATTTATCTATAATATATTTAAATTAACTCAGTCTAGCATAAGACTACAGGAATAGAAGAACAATGTATTGTGCCAATCTCCAAATTGGAAAGGGTCTGCCTACCTTGAAAGTAGCAACAAAAAATTTATATGCTTCTAATATTAAGCCCAAGCCCCAGGGGGCCTTCTCCCAAACCATACCCCCACCTCAGGAGGGGCTGGGTTTATTGCCTGGCGCCTGAGGTGTCCTCAAAAGGGGAAGTGCCAAGGGGACTTGGTCAATTTTTCCATAGTATGATTGTTAAACCAACTTTAAATCTCAACTTTGTGCCACATCCAGTTGCAACGTGGGCGCCCTAGTAAATACCTATAAAACTATTTGCCTGGTGAAGTTTATCAGATTAGATCAACATTATGAAATTTCAAGTATTATTAACTCAAGAGGTCGATCATCCTATGCTACTCATTGACAGAAGATTGACTCTGGGCAACAAGTGTTAGGACTGCCCTTTCCTAGGTTTGTCATCACTCCTCCCAGTTCTGAGGTTAAAACAACCCAAATTTTTAGACATGTACTGAATCACCTTGCATGCTACTCAACAGTCCAGTGACCATACATGGCCTATGAGGACATTGTATCAGGAACTAGTGGAGGGGGTTGAGTCAAATCCACTCAATGGGTAGCTTGGCTTGTTGGTGAAATGTTGCACATTCTGGTCCTGAACACCAGTGGGGAATTACCTCAGCAACACTTAGTTTTCACTTACCTGGCGATTGATCTACAATGTACTACCTCTCAATGACGTGGGTTTCAGAGCGGACTGGGTAGATATACCCAACAGTCATAGGTGTGACCAGGATTTTGAAGAAACGGCTGCACGCCAACCACTGTCCACAGGGGCTGCCCATTCTGGAAGCATGTTGCCAAGTTGACAGCTCATATCGATCCCGAACATCTCATGTCCATTGATCTCGCATGGGCATGCAATAATGTGCCCCCCCCCATGTTCTGGGGTGAAATGGGTAGTGTTTCTGATGCTGCTAGCCATGGCAAGAATGGTGGCAAAGACAACACAAATGGAAGGAATATTACTATATTAATTTGACCATTATTCTCATCAGGATTTGATTGGATTCTTTGGGTATCAGCTCAAGATGAAGATCAGAACTAATAGAATGTGTTAGCTATGGGCAGATTTCAGTGAAAGGTGAGTAAAAGTAGAGAGCCTAGTTTGTGTGAATAGGGCTAGCCTTAATTTTCTTTCTTAATCAGCTTTTTGACACAACAGGATGATTTCCTGTTGGTCACCTCACCCAGTTAAGCTAGACGTTTGCCTAATTCTTCTTTTATGTGCCATGTCCTTTCAGGACGTAGGCAATCATGGCTCTCCACCTCCCTCTATCCCTTGCAGCTCTCAACAAGTTCCTTACCTCTGCTTCCTCCTCCAGACCACGTTTTGTCATCCACTTGCTTAAGTCCACTAGGTATGTCACACATTTTCCCTTGACTCTCTTTCCCTCTATTCAACCTGTGAGTAACAGATTCTCCACACCCTCCTTCATTATGTGTCCAAGGAACTTCAGCTGCTTCTTCCTGATATTAATTATAAGCCTCCTCCTTGTTTGCAACCTCTCTAAGATCTCATCGTTGCTCACATCCTCGGACCATGATATCCTTAGCATCCTTCTGTAGAACCACACTTCTGTCACCTCAAGTCTCTTCATCTCTGAGGAAATCATTCAACATTTGCTGCCACAAAGAAGGACAGATGTCACGTAACAGTTCAGTATTCTTTTCTTTGTTACCAAAGAAATCCTCCTGTCTCACAATACTCTGCCCAGCCTAGTTAATGTGAGTAATTGTTGTTCCCAACCTGCTCCAGACATTCTCTTTTGTTATGATCTATGTCAAAATTCCCAAACTCCCCAGTGAACATCTTGATTTTGTCTATTGGCAGAATACAGCAGCCACTCTAAGTTTTCTGTGGAATTAACAGATCCTACTAATATATTTTATTCTTAGTTATTCAATGTTTTGTTGTATTTTATTTTCATTATTGGGTTCATCTCTTCCCTGCTCATTTCATGCCATATAATCTTTTGTAAGAAAAAAGGAAAAAGACATTTATATTTATTGTAAAATTTTTATGACATGGGTGTTTTTGTAGGACCCCCTTTCAATAGGCAGCAATGTGATATATGTCAGATGAATGGAGATGAAAGAATTCTTGTGGTGCTTGAGTAAATTGTAATGAATGAATAGATCCCGAATCAGATTACCTAGGTTTGGGATAGTCAATGACGACCAGCCTAACTCCACTTCCCTTTTGGTCTTGTGCCACAATTGTAATTCAATTTACAATAAATCTACACTTAATGATAAAGAGAATTATCAGATTTAAACTTCATAAGTTTGAAATAGTTCATCATTTGCAAGTACTTTTATGCTTTAGTGTCAAGCATGCACTCCATAAAGACATTCACAAAATAATCTGATCCCAATTCAAAGCAAAAAGGGCTTCACATATAACAGAAACCGAAGATGAAATTTGAAACCACAAATGATGAACGTTTGCTCACCTCATATTGCTGTACATCGATCGTTCTGCCATTCGCATTTTCTCAATTTCAATCTGAAATCATAATGAAAAATTCACTGAAATATTGAACTACTTTTCATTTATACTTTCATCAAGAAATTTTAAATTTATCATCAACATTTATTTATTCCTATGAAGCTACTGGTTTTCAGAATGTGCATGATAAAATTTGAGTCAACAGACATATGCTTCAATAGAAGGATGTTGGGAATACCAAAATAGACTTTGCACTCAGTGTCACATCAGAGCATCAGAGGCTTATGGCCACATTATGTTGAAACACTAGTTTTCATACAATCACCAAAGTTAAGCTACATCAAGCCTGGTCAGTACCTAGATGAGTGACCACTTTGGAATACTAGGTACTGTAAGTTTGGATGTGCAGGTGGTGTAATGAATAATGGAACAGAATTGGAAATCAGAGAGAGGAGTTCCAATTCCATTCAGATTCATTATATTCACTTACACTCAAAGAGACTTAAAAAAAAAAATGAATCCACTACTTCTCCCCTCACTATAGGTTAATTAGTAAAATTTGTATCAGTAAATCGCTATCTTCAAAAAATTCTTACAATCTAAAAATATTTTGTAGCTTTAAATAACCTACAAAAGGTTGATAAGTCATATAAAACAAATCAATCAAAAACCAGATCATCAGAGAAGCCAAGTGCATCAGAGAGTTGACCTGAAAGCTGACCTCATAGTCACTAGGTGGAGAATTGTGCCTCAAATGGTATATATCAGTATATATTGGGGTCACCACAGATCAACTTCTCTTAGAATAAAAGTTCCTTATTGACATTAAAGTCAATTTAGACTTCTGGTATTTCCCGGCATGGATCACATACTACAATAACAACATTTAGTAAAAGGATGAAAACCTTCTTTAGACTATTTTCTAATAATATCTATTATGTGACATCAAAAATTAAGCATCGATGGATGTTCAGAATTTTTTGATGTAGAATTGTAACCAGTGTTTATTATATTTTCTTTCTTCTCCCAACATACATATGATTCTATTGATAAAATACTTGTTAATCTGAGAAAGTCCATTTGAAGGATGAAACACATAACAGGATCTTTTTTCCATTTTGTCATTCAATTAGCTACTGATATATAGAGTTGGATATCTTATCTCCCATTCTGCATAAAATAAAGATAAAGCAATAATGATAAGAAATAAATATTTTTAAAAGTTTGCTTAATAATGATTTCAGAATTTAATCTAACCCAGGCTTTATACAGCAAACTAATCAATCCCATTATTTAAAGTCAGACTGATGTCCTCATCTTTGTTGTTACAATCAAAATGTTTCAGCTGTTGTGCTCTCTGGCCTTCTTCAGGTGTCTGTCAATCTGGGTAACCCTTCAGGGAATTTCAAACAGATCCCCTTATTCAATCAACAGGGTAGATTATTCTCATTCCACTGTCTTGTCTAGAGATATCTGATAATGGTGAATTGTTCAGTTATTGCTCATCCTGTATACATAATACACATTGTGATAATAACAGCAAAGATGAGGATTTTAGTCTTCATGTAAATAAATAATCATTAAATCTTATCTAAATCCATATTTTAGAGACTTGAGACAATATATAAATTTGGTTGAAACTAAGCCAAACTTCCCATACAGTTTAAATAAATACACACTCACATAAAACACTTTCCTCTTTAGATGTCATGTTTAAGATTATTAACCCTTAGGAGACAATAGGACTGATCTATCAGCCAAAAAGTCAAATGACAAAGAAGACAACTGGGCTGATCGATCAGCTTGATAATACAAGCCTCAAGATTAGCTAGCTGGTCTTCATACTAGCCAATCAGATTGCTTCTTGCACATTTGATCCTTTCAATGGCAGTTTCTATGATAGTTTGCTATGTTCTGTGATTTTATATCATTTTTTTTTTTTGTTTTCCAAGTGAGGGCTTGTGAAAAGGGCTCCATCATCTTGGCACTGAAACTCCAAATGAGGCTCTGTCTCCAAAGAGTTAAAGTAATATGAATATATTCTAATATTCTTTCTTATTGCAGATTTTACAAGCTCACAAAGAGACTGATTACAAAGAGTAATGGTTCAAAAATTTGGCAACAGCCGATGTACCTGATAACACACTCATATGAATTGACAAGTTAAAAAACCTTTTAACCAGAAGTGCCACAATTCCATAACTAAATACAAGACTTTTAAAGCTCATGCCTTAAATAGCATTATTTTTGTTATATACTGTACCTATGAATACTAATGGGTATGTCCCAATCCTCATAAATATGTTGGACATTATTGTAAGTGGGGGTAATATGCTGTCTAAGTAGTTCACCACTAGCAGTGGTTTACCTACTTCACACCACTGGCGAGTATTGTATTTTGTTGATGTTATAAAGATTACCATTTCATTTCCAACCTCCATTTTGGTTATTACTCATTCAGTAACCTTTTCTAGTTTATAACAATTTTGCTTTTGTATTAATATGTTTTTTATGAAGAAAGAATGTAATTTTATTATAAACAATATTTTCTTTTCATGACTTTTAATTAAAGATAACAAAACAAATACATTCTTTCTCCATCCTTTTAAAATAAGTAGGATGGGTGTGATTATTTTAAACATAACTAATTGAGCCAGCATTTATATTTGCCTATGAATGATGAGGAGAGAAAAAACACCAATGTAGTATCGTATACAAATTAGACAAGTATAAATAGGGAACAAATGGTGAACAGAGGGGCTATACCTAGCAAAACCAGTTGCTATTCAGGACATGGAGAACTATACTACAATTACTACTATGCAGAGAAATATGCAAAACATAACAACCAATAAAAAAAATCTCAACTAACCTCCCTGGCTATCAACTGCTTGGCTGCATAAGTGAGTTGTTTGTGTTGCTTCAATCCAGGGAAATTAACCACTTCTTCAACATTTCTAGAAAAGAGATTTTAAAAAAATATATTATAATAGGAGATTGTTCACATTTTACATGCAAATAAGCTTGCAAAGAATCTTACCTCTATAAAAAAAAAAAAAGACTTATGAAATAAGGATGAAAATGGAGAAATACATTTGGTCTCTCATCAAAGCATAACTACTTTGAATTCCATATTTTATACATATGGTTACTCTGATTATTTCCTTGCTAAGCAAAGACATCCTTACACTGTTAAAATCAATATTGATTTGTCTTACACTTCTATCCTATAGGCTCAACTTTGGAACTCATGTTTTGTTTTGGCTTTTTTTTTTCCACCCTCTGCCAATACTTCATATCTCTTACTTGGATCGTCATTTGCACTTCCAGAGTTTTCATCTTTGACTTTTTAAACTAACTTTCTTATGTCCCTGTTCTTTTTTCTTGAGCATTCTGCTGATTACATTTAACCATGGCCACATTAACACATCCAGATATTATCTGAGATTGATTATTATTCATTTGGATAGAGTTTCTCTTCTTTAAGATCCTCAAGGTTACTGCTAATGACCTTTGTCTAATACTGAATGTATACCAATACCATAGCTATCATATTGCAACATGCATTGACAATGGATAAGGTATGTAATTCAAAGAGAATTATATTGAATATGATCATCTAGTTTTAAACACAACAAAGTGAATGTAGAAATAACAAGAAGTCAGTGTGATAAAAATACAAACATTTTTATGCCTAGTCAGCTTATAGAGTTTTTGTTTGTTTAAAACTTAACGACCCATTGATCAACAAGAGATCACTTAAAGTCAAACAGTTGTATTTTCTTTTTCTTTAAATAAGGTTGAAATGCTTTCAAAAAGACTTTCCCTTTCCTTTCCTTTCCTTCTTTTTCAATGTTGTCTTGCATTTTTTTTTTTTTTAAATTCACTGTTTTCGGAGGTGCATTGTTCTTTGAAAATTTCTCACCTGGCAAGTATCAAAGTTTTCCCCTTTAATCATCAGACACCAAATTGGAATTATATTTTATTATATAGTCCAACTTTCCTAAGAAAGGTCAAGATCAAATTGGGGTTTGATTTTTCGAAAAGTTCTTTCAAGTTGTTCACGTTGTAAAATAATTTTCGAATATGTGCCATGTCACCGCAATCAAGCAGGAAGTGCTTTTGACAGTATAAGCCTCCTGGCATGCTATGCATTCAGGAGGATCTTCTTTTTAGGAGGAAGGATGGGAGTTATGTGCATGTGTCCTATGCGAATACAGGATAAAACCACTTCTTCTTTCTTGGTCTTTTATGTACATAACACAAAAACATCAAAACTAAAATTTGGTCTTATTACAGAAAAGTGCCTGGAATTAGTCTGGTTGCTGTCTCTTCTTGATGACGCATTTGTTTTCCTATCATAATGAGCTTATGTAAATGGATGGCAGAACAGAAGTGGGAGGGATAATAAAAAGACAAACATTGCTAAGAGCTACAAAGGATAGGAAGTTATGGAGAGCTATGATTTCCATGTCCTGATGAGAAATGGAAACTAAAAGAAAAAAACCCAAACTTCTCCAGTACATCATTAATCAGAACTAACAACCAATAAAAAAAAAAAAAAATTTGACTATACTCAAGATCGAGTCAATGCAAACAATGCTTTCTTTACTGCATAATATATGCTTCCCCAGGGCTACATACAATTTTGAATTTTGAGTTTTCCTTCTCCTAGACCAGTTGTAATCCAAGGCTATAGAACCCAGTCAGTCTTACTATTTACCCATAGTTGGGGGAAGAAGAGTTGGATTTATACCTTGCCCAAAGTTATTAGTACATAAGTGAATGTAATGTACTTGACTGGAATTCAAACTTGGCTCTCCCAATTCCTCAATTCGAGCTGCAATCAAAATGGGGTTGATCAGTACAGACTTCTTCCACATTACAGCCATTAATAAATCTACAACAATCATTAAAAACATTGGATTATGGCTAGTAATTCTTATCATAAACCCAATTTTGATACCTACATTAAATTGAAGAAAAACATTATGTTGATATCTTTTATGATAAATAAAATTAACAAAAAACCATAATAATTTTATCACAACCTTCTAATAAATCTAAAAAAGGAAGATCTTATGATCCCAATTTAAGTCAGCTTACACTAGAATATCTGCACTTGTGATCTCTTCTGAAGAAATTGGAGGTCATTTTGGTATCATGAGAGCAAAAAATGATCCCTTCTTTAATACAGAAGGGATATACTGGGCCAAAATCCAGGTATAATTCCACAAGTGTTAGTTTTCTATATACAAATGTGTTAAACCATCCTACATATGGGTTACATGGGCATCCAAGAAAAAAAAAGGGGTTTGTTATAATGCTCTTTGATACTATTCTCAACTGTATATCGGTTCTACTTATTTTCATATTATCCAACAGAACTCATACGTCTTCCTCATGTGACTACAGCATAAAAGTATTGTCCTTTATATCAAAGTCAGATTTAAAGTTTCAGGAGTATTAAGGAGTTTGTCAAAAAATTGCATCTAGATGATAAAATTCACTGCAGAAAATAAGAACTTAGAACTGGGTTAGAGCTACCTGCCACCATATATTTATATATAGATTATATGCCTGCGAAGACCATAGAAAAGACCACCTGAAACATTATAACAAAAAAAAAAAAAAAAAATCAACTCTTGGAATATAACTTTTGTTTTTTCCCCAGTCACTATAAAGTTGAGGAACAAGTCTAACCAAAATAGTCATATAATTCAGAGAGAGCAAACCACATTGCAAATCTGAGAATCTGTCTGTTACTTCAATAGACATACAGACAGACACAAAGAGTGAAGCAATAGATACAAATTCATGGGCATGTAATAATTTGAAGTGAATCCATCAAATATGGCTCAGCATAAATTCAAATCTAATAAACAATTATTTTAGAGCCAATAAGAAAAGATTCTTTCAAAGTAAAATTTTCTGATCTGGACTTCAAAGGATTCAGCCAATAACATCCAGATAGGTTGCAAAAGTTTGAAAGGAAATGCCTTAGATTTATCAGCCAATCAGAAGGCTTTATTTCAACTATCAGTTTGTTTAAACCTACTAACCATTATATAAGGAATGAATTTAATCAGAGTAAAACTTGCTTGTCTCTCCAATGTTGTTACATATGCACATATACACATACTCTCTCACCAAACACACAGACCACTCAGTCAGAGAGAGTTAACTTAGCAATCCTCCTCCCCCTCACTGACACACATACAGTCAGCACTCATACGACTTTCTTTCTCCTGCAGCCAATTGTAACTTCATTTCCACTCAGAAGTATGTATTTCATTTCAACCATCTTTAAAGACAAATTTAAAAGATTTTGTATTATTTGTTAAAATAATTAGTTATTTTATTTGAAACCACAAGTTTGTCTTCTCATTTATGCATATTCCTCTTGATGGTTTGAATTTAATTTCAACCTTTTGTTGTAACTCAACTTTGACACGGTCATATTTTTGTTGGGTGAGATAATGTATTTGAACTCAGATAGATAAATAAGGTCAACTCTGCCACAGCTAAATTGATAAAAGGGATAATAAAAAATGTTACAGAAATTGCTAACAAATTTTGTAAAAATGCCTATGTTTTTAAGAGATGGTTGCTGTTTTTATTGTTAGATAAACACTTTATTCTCTCTATAAATACAGGGTGCGATGGATAAATTGTCGCCTAAATTATGCACATACACACACACAAAAAAAAAAAAAAATGAAAATAGGACTGACATCTCATTTTAACATATATATTTACCAAAGTTACACAAAAATAACTTTAAATACTAAGTTTATCCAATAAAATCACCATTGGCTTCAACCATGGCCTCCAGATGATTTCGGAAACTCATGCAACTCTTCTAGATTGCCTTGTTGTTTAAGTTTGTGAATGCTGCCATAATCCTTGTTACAAGGAGTTTTATTGGTCTCTCGCTCAACTGCACCCCACATATAATAATCAAGGGTGTTGCAGTCTGGGGAGTTAGGTAGCCAGACGTAAGGAGTGATGTGGTTGCAGAAATTGTCTGACAGCCATGACTGCTTGCGTGGCATGGTGCAGAGTCCTGTTGCCAGACATGGGATCTTCCAGCAGACACACTCTTGACTCAGGTCAGCACTACCACCCCAAGACACTTAATGTAGGTCTCCATGTTGAATCTGAGGCAGTCACCAACCAATTGAAGTGGTCTTTTCTTATCAGAACAGTTAGAGTTTTCTGAGTTGCCATTACTTCATAATCACCATTAGACTCATCCAACTCTTTTCGAATCCTCTGCACTGTTCTCAGATTGAAAACCAAACAAGTTAAAATGTTTGCATTGGATCTTCCAGCATGAATGCCAAGCAGTTTCCAAATTTCAGGTAGAGTGAATCGCATCATGGTGCTCTTTTACTCACAGACGGTGCCCAACTGACCCTACTATACTGTGCAGTTGACAAAAACAAACAAGACATAAAAATTAAATCAAAAATTTATTTCTTTTTGCAATGATATTCACCCTGTAGAAGATCCACTCAAGGTAGAGGGTTACATAATAAGGAGACACCACCCCAAGCAAGGCAATATTATCATCAAAATGCAAGGGGCCACTGGATGTGAAGAAGGAAAAGGCTTTAGAAGGACCTGAAAACCAAATCCTAAATAGGAAACAAAGGATAAACCTCTACTCCTGTTCAAAAGACTGAGGAGGTGTGTGACCCAGATGATATTTGAAAATAAAAGTAAATAAAATTTCAGAGTTTTAGGCGGAGACATTAGAAGTATAGAGTTGAATTAGACTTTACAAGGAACCAGAAACCCAATCCTAAACAGGAAACAAAGTGTAAACCTCTATTCCTGTTTAAAAGACAGAAGGTGTGTGCAATATTTCAAAATTATAAAAAAAAAAAAAAAAAAAAAGGTGGGGGCTTTATGAAGGATATTTATGATGAATTAGATAAAAATTCCATCCAAAATGCTTCATGCAAATATATAGAGAGATTAAGCAATAAAATCAATAAAGTCCATCTAAAAAAAAAAAAAAAAAAAAAAAAGAAAAGAAAAGGAAAAAAAGACAGCAGCACAGATCATGAAACTGTCAAGAATTAATCAAATTGTAGAAAATTCAATGGTAAAGACAATATTCCAAAAGAAAGAAAGAACAGGGGTCAAGACAGATACTTACGGATCAAGAATATAGCTATATTGACCTTCTGGAAGTTTCTCCTGGCGATATGTCATATTGTAGGCAATCATGTTTCGGATTAGTTGTTTTAAACCTTCTTTTTCACGGTTACTGTACAGTTGGGTGTTTACCTGTGACATAAATTTTAACAATTCCAATCAAAAGCAGTTTAATAAAAAGCAATATACTGTATTTTCTAGTCTATAATACACGTTTATGAAGCTTAAAACAGCTTATCCTTGAGTATAACACAAACCCATAGTACAGCCATCACTATGTAAATTTTTTTTTTTTAAAGTTTTACTATATTATTCAATCTCAATGCCATATCCACATGAATTATAATATTTTACAATTTAAAATTACAAGTACCAATGTACACTATCTATATGACAATATAATTATGTAAGGGTAGTTTACATATCTATTTGTATAGTTTTATTTTTCTCAAATCATTTGAAGTTTTCAATTTGGACACTGTATCAACAAATGGAGGAATATGAAGCAACAACCTCACAGCCTGGGAATTCTAGTACCATTTTACGGGGTGGGGGGTAAATAAAAAAAAAATACATAGCTTATACACTAGTTGGGCCTTTGTTGTAACATTAATGTTATCAAAACATGACAGATCTTGTGTATTCCCTTCATTAATTTTTTTAATCAATTTCAATGAATTTCCTGTCTTTGAGAGAAAAGATTCCAATTATGCTGATTTCCAAACAACAAATATTGCCAACATATCAAATACCTTTTGTAAACAATTGTTATCAACACCTACCTACTTTCTGTTTTATTATCTGTTGTGCTTTAACAATCTTGCTGTTTTTGGTTTTCTTAAGTAGAGTAAAACTTTCAGAAAACATGTACTTGTGCATAAAATGCCCCCCTCTTTACACACACCTTTTGCTATTAACTTTTGTTCAAAATTCCTCGTATTATGCACACAAAAATAGCATAATGTTACATTAGAGCTGTAAACTGCATTTAATGTAAACAAGTTGTGAGTGTGCTACTGTGTGCACAAGTTTTAGTTTTTGGTACAAATGTTAAAACAAATATAAAAAATTTAAAAAAGAAAAAGAACAGACAAAAACAAAAGAGAGAAGGAAAAAAAATTGAGCCAGATACAGATAATAACAATCTTAGTCATTTTGAACAGAGAAAATGTTGATTAACCTGCCAACTTATCTTTTTTTTTTATATGAGCAGGTTTTTTTTTTTAAATTCTACCATATACACTGATGTGCCAAAAGTCATGGAATAAGCGCCAATTATTGAGTAGACCATCCCCTAATCAAACAAAGTGCAGCAACTGAACATGGCATTCAATTTGAAGGAAAGATATTGAACCATGCTGTCTTGATAGCAGTCCACAGTTCCATATAAAAATCAAGAACTGAGCATTTCAAAGCAACAATCAATTGTCAGGAAGTAAGGAAAATAAAAAAAATTAAAAAAAGATAACAATTGAGAAGAAGTACCACTTAGCTGGAGAGTAAGTAATTCCCATCATAAGCTTATATAGTCAAGGTACTTCAAGAGACGGTCAGTCACAAGCTGTCTGTCAAGATGTAGAGAGAGGTAGTACAGTCTCAATCAAAGATAGACAGAGGGGCAAATGGAGTTCTCACTGACTAAAGGAAAGATATGCTAGTCTGTCATGAGAGAGAAAACAGAAGTGTTACTTTCCTAGTGCCAGACAGTACCAGGTAAATGCATGATTAAAAGAATCCAATATATTAAAAACAGGATTCAAACTTTGTTTTTTTTCATCGTGGCAACATTTCACCTTCAGTTCCTTTGAACAATACACACTGGACCTTTCCCAAATATGGATTAAATTGATGCAAATGGGAATCAAACTTCAGTGTGGAACAGACAGTGACCAGTCATTGAAAAACTGTCAGAGAGCTGAATGTATATTTACATATATATGCATTAATACGTGGAGTATTTCAGATTTTGAGAAAGCTGAATATATGTTTACATATGTATGCATGAATATAGTTAATCCATTTGTAAATTTCAAAATCTGAAATATTCCATGTATCAATGCATACATTATTCTCACATGACAAAGAAATGGAAAGACTACATAGAATCCATTGCTAGGTCAGCTGCTAAGAAAGTTGATTCATTGTGTCGTACTAGACAATTTCTTCTCTTCAGAATCTATATCACATATCTACGATTCATCCATGTTTAGAATACTGCTGTCACATATAGCCCAGGGCTCCTGCTATACATTTAGAGATTTTTGATAAGATCCAAAGAATCAGCAATATTATTAGTCCTGACCTGACATCTCATTTTCAGTCATTTCTCCACAGCCATAAAGTTGCCTCCCTCTGCCTTTTCTATAAATACTTTCATGGTAATTGTTCGGACAAGCTCTTTTTGTGGTGTCGAGACTTTTTGAATTTAAGTACACTGCTAGATTGGCAACAAGGTTTCATTAATTTGCACTTGAGTTGGCCAGATGTAAGTTCTATGCTAACAGTTTCTTTTCTCACACTTCTCACTTGTGGAACTTTCTTCTGGCTCCATGCTTTCCAATCAACTTCAATCTTCAAAAATTTTCTTATTACTCTTCTACTGTTCTCGCTCTTTAGTAATGTTTCTTCCACATGCAGTAACCCCTTGTGTCATAGTGGCTTTACTGCCATGCTCAGGGTGATCTCAATGAAAAGAAAAAGAAAAGCAAGAACTTGTCTCAAATTTAAATCTAGTGGACAAAGCAATATTTTATCTAGAAAAAACAATCAAATAAGTATTATTAAGGATTTGTGTAAATACATCAATTAAGGTTTTATATACAGAGTGTGATGGATAAATTGTGGCCTAAATTACACTAAAAATGAAAACAACACTGACATTTCATTTTAACAGAGATATTTACCAAAATTACACAAAAATATCTTACTAAAGAGTAAATTTATTCAATAAAATCACCATTGGCTTCAACCAGGGCCTCCAGTCAACTTCAGAATATCCTGCAACTTGTTTAAGTTGGTGAATGCTACCATAATCCTTGCCTTCAGTTCATCTTTGGTGTTACAAGGAGTCTTGTTGGTCTCTTGCTCAATGGTGCCCCAGACAGGGGGTTGTAGCCTGGAGACTTAGGTGGGCAGATGTAAGGAGTGATGCAATTGCAGAAATTGTCTGACAGCCATGACTGTGTTCTCCTACTTGTGTGGCTTGATGCAAACTCTTATTGCCAGACATAGGGTCTTCCAGCAGCCACCCACCCACTTGAGCCGGGGCAGCACTACCTCCTCAAGGTAGGTCTCCATGTTGAATCTGAGGCCCTCACCAACAAATTCAGGTATTCTGTTCTTATTAGAACAATCAGAGTGAGTTTTCCGAACTGCTGTACCTTCATAATCACCATTAGACTCATCCAACTCTTTCTGAATCCTCTGCACTGTCCTCAGAATGACACCCAAATACTTTGAAATGGTTGTATTGAAGTTTCTGGCACAAATGCCAAGCAGTACAGTATGCTAATTCCAAATTTCTGGCAGAGTGAATTGCATCTAGTGAACAGCCAGTGCCCAACTGACCCTTCTATACTGTGAGGTCAACAAAATCAAAACAAACAATGTGCATGAAAAAAAAAATAAAAAAACAAAATACCATATATAATTTATATATATATATATATATATATATATATATATATATATATATATATTTTAGAAATTCTAAAGCTAAAACACTGCTAAGTGAGGATTACATAAGTAAACCAAATTTTTGTCTATAAAAATTGTTATCGAAGGTGCAAAAACATTGATTAGTGATTAATTGGGATATTTTTATGGTCTTATGTGTAGAAAAATTATATATATATATATATATATATTGTCTACCGGTCTGCATATTTGAAAAAACTTAAGATGATGTGCCTTCCTTTCTTTAATGTTTTCTTATATATGCAAGCCAGTAGATGAAATACTGTTTAAAATGAATGGAGCATTTAATGAAATAATCCACTAAAATGTAATATGTGAAGTAATAAAAATATGTTGGATTAAAAAATAAAATCCATAAATTCTTTAGAAATATATTTTAACAGCAACTTTAGAATGAGTCTGTCAGTGTGTGCATGTTTAATAATGTTCTAAACTGAGAGAGTTTAATATCTGTATCTGTATGATGTACTATACCAGTCATCCAACAATAAGTGCCTGTTCACTGCTGCTGGTCAAGTAATAAGACAATCTAATTTGATCACAGAATTCTTTTGATGTCCACAAGCCTATTATCTCACAATTGCTCAACAAGGAATATAGTTCAAATGCTAGTCTCTCACCCCAGACAGTCAAAAATAAACTGCTTAAAAAAAAAAAAAAAAAAATTTCAAAAGAATTTCATCAGCATCACTACTTTGATGATAGATGCCATAGAGTCCTTGTTACAGTTACTATCCCAGTTCCTGCAAAGGGATGTGGTTAGATTTTGTCATCAAGGATCTGGAAAAAGTCGAGGAATGTCATCTTCCAACATGATGGTAATAGTCATGTACAAAGATGAGCATCATCTCACAAATGCCTCATTTGATTTGGACCAACTGTGCATCAAATTTATCAACAACTTGATAAGTAACATGCCCTTGATTGTTCCAACCATCTGTCTGTTGTGTGCATCCATACAATCTGCTTTATGAGTGAGGAAGAGCTGAATGTCTAGGGAGAGAAGAAAATGGACATGAACAAACCTACAATTGGATGAAGAGGATTGACTAGATGATTACCCAGCCCTTCATCAATGCTGTTCAGTCTTGACTGGAGTGCTGTAAAAGGTTGTCGAAGCACGGCACTATCCCCAAAGATAGCATGTGGTATCTTTAGGCATTGGTGACAAATTATCCTTTAAAATATTTTCCTGACCTCAACATTCTTGCTCAACTGACTACCACCCTGCATCATTTGATCTTTCTCAACATACTTTACATTGTTTTAGTTAAGTTTTATTGTTGTGCTAAATGTTTCATAGTGACTGGCTGGATTAATTTTCTCATCAATTAAAATCACATTTGATTTAGTTGATTATTTTCAGGCTAAAGGATCTTGGTGACATTGTAGATTCTGTCAGGGTGATGAGCATGTTTTGTTCGTATGTTAAAATCAGTACTGTAAATTTATTTTGGTGCTGCTTAGGTGCTGGTCACCATTTTGTTTTTATTTGAAATTTTTTTTTAATCATTTCACCTCAAGCAAGGTAGGAATGCCACTAGTATGCAGAGGGTTACAGAGAATGAAAGTGAGAGAAAAAGACTGAGTACATGGAAGAATGGGGAAAGGACAACAGAAGATAGAAGATGGCAACTGATGTTGCATTTAACTTTTTGAAGATTGTCATTATCAGGGAAGCAAGTAAACAGAAGGGAGTTCCACAGGCAGGAAGAGCAAGAAAAGAAACTGTTGGAGTAGAATTGGTGGTTGCATTTAGCTATTTCAAAAGTAAAAGGGTGGGACCTAGATGTCAAACTTGTAACACACATAAATTCATGTAGTCAGGGCACCAGGGTAAAAAGCTTGTCAGAGTAGTAGCCATGAAAATATTTGTAGAAAAGACAGAGATGTTTTGTTCAATCATTTATTTTGGTGCTATTTATATTGTTACAAAAAACTATTTTCTTTGGATTTTGTATCACACTGATTGTAAAGTTGGGAGCATCCCATATTTCTAAGCCGATTCAAAGGAGATTACTTAAAATTATTAAAAGGAAAATTTGCCTAATCCAATTCACTTTTTAAGAAACCAAAATTAACTCATACTATTTATTAATTTAATTTTAAAAAAAAAACTGTCAATTTTAAAAAATACTTTGTCCTATTAATTAAAAAAAAAAAAAAAAAAAAAACTTTGTCCCATCCAAATTCTCAAAAATATATAGTTTCCCAAATTGAACTGTGATTAAATGTAAAAACTGTTTTTCTTATGAATTTATTCATTTAAAAAAAATCTTTTATTCTGTTAATTTAAATGATTCAAAATGGTTAAAATATTTTTCCAGCTAAAAGATTTTGTCCAGAGCCCTGCAGTTTAACACTACAATTTATTAAGAAACTATAGCTGGGACCCACTGAATGTACCAGGGTCCCACTCAAACTGATTACATTAAAAACCTATTATCAACACTGAAAAATAATCGACGGCATGTATAAAATCAAACTGATTTCATGAGAAGGGAAAAAACTAAGAATTATATCAAAATGAAGAATTACAACAGCAATTGTGATTAAATGAAAAGCCATTATAAGAAAGACTACAACAATTAAATAAACAAAAGCCATTATAAGAAAGACTACAATTAAATAAACAAAAAACATAATTTTCTTTCTTTATATTAGGGTGTTTGGAAAATAATATTTTAGAATGGATATAAAGACAAATGTAAGTTAAATTTATTTAAAAAGTATTTATCAAAAATGTAATCAACTCCAAAGGGAAGGTAAATTTTCAATTGCACATTTAAAATGATCTGGGTTTATCTCTGAAAAAATTTTGTAAGTCGATCGGTTCTCCCAGTTAATGTTTTGCATGTGTGACTGGAAGTATACATTACAATAGAGCAGTAGTCAACATGTTAGTGGCCAAGAGAATTGAGAATGAATCTATCTGGGTGACCCAATTTGATGGCTTTGTATTGTCTTCTAAGTTTAGTAAATAGCTATATATTTCATTTACTCAGCACATTCTATTAACTTTTCCACATTCATTAAAGTTTTATTGAGTAGTCATAATTTTTTTTTTTTTTTTATTTATAGATATTGTCTTAAATTTAAATTTTTTTATAACTTCTTTTTAAAGGTTGTTTTTCTTTTCCAAGTTTATTTGTGATTTCAACTACACAATGTTTAATATCTCTGCAAAGTCCAATATTCTTAGCTAAACAAGATATAAAAAAAAAAAAAAACCTCTTACTTATTATGCTCACACTGTTTCAACTATTGTATCCACCAGCCTTCTTCAAGTATCTGTCTTAATATTTGGTAACTGTCTTGAAATTTCAAACCAAATCCTTTATTCAATTTAAAACATACTATTTTCCCTGTCAGTTGTGAGTTTGATCCCTGGGTCTGGTAGTTTAAAATGTCACAACCTTGGATACTTTTTTTTATGGTCACTCAATACAAGGCTCAAAAGACTCTCAAAGTAGACGATTATGGATAGAGTTGTTTTATGGGTATAATAATTTTAGATTATAAAGATATGTAGAATAATTAACAGTTGACCCAAAACTTTAAGATTGTAATGGTTAGGAAAGCATCCTCTTGGGAGTCTGTTCCACAAAGCAGCAGCTCTTGAAAAGAAGCTATCCACATGGAACTTCCTTCATACCAATAGAATAAAAAAAAATGATTTGCTCCTGTGTACAAGGCATGGCTGGTCTTAACTGTAAAGATCTGATTAAGTGAAACTAAGGAATGTAGCTCATCAAAACATTTTCCATGAAAATAGCGATAGAGTAATAATAGGCTTGTTACTTTGCATATATAGGAAAAAAGATGTAAGGTGGAAATTACAAGGATGGTTTACAAGAAGAAAGAAACTGGAAAGTGAAAAGGGGATAAAACTTCAAGAATGACAAATATGAATCACTGGTAGTGAGTATTAACTGATATGAAATATACCCTGAGCATTTAAGAAAAAGTTTGGTTCAAAATTACAAGGAGGTTACTAAGGGTGAAGACAGACACCTAAAGAAAGGAATGCAAGCCACAAGTATGAGAATGTTAGTCCAAATACCAAAGAATATAATGATAATTCTTTATCATAAAAATTCTGTCCCAGCACCAAAAAATTAAATAAAAAAGCTCTTACCTTTTGAAAGAAATTTTTTTTTTTGCATTACTAAGCTCCCATCTATGTTAAATTATTTTTTTTTTTAAATTTATTTCATAAATAAATGAGGTAAGTCATTGACACAAATACTTACTGGCCGGAGTGATGGCTGCATAATAATCATCAAAGGGGGTAAAACTTCAAGAATGACATTTTCAATGTTCTGGTATTTTCGAACACTTGGATGCATGTCAGTAAACATGGAAGTTACAAGGTTTTCGGTACGTGTTTTTTTGGCATTCATCTGTGAAAAGAAAAACAGTAAAAAAATGTCTGGTAAAGAAAAAAAGATAAAAAAATGTCTGGTAAAGAAAAAAAGATAAAAAAATGTCTGGTAAAGAAAAACAAACTTCCCACAAAATGCAGTATTGTACCACATTTCAAGAATTGAGGATTCTTTTTGAATATTACATGTAAATTTTGCTTTCTTAAAGATGTATTTTATAAGTGCAAATTGCTAGAATATGAGCAAAATCTTGCCTATCTGCCCCCACCTCTCTCTCTTTCACATTTACTATTACTCAAAATTACCAAAATTATTTAATTCAGTTTTGTGGGTCAGCGAAACCCTTGATCGGGAACCTGTCCACAGGGTTCACAGCCTCCTAAACCTCTCACTTTTGTGTCCTTGAGTTATCCCTAAAATATTAAACTCCCAATTTAATATTTTAATACTCTATTGATTTTAATAATGTTACAAAATGATACAATGATTAGAGCACTGGGCAAGAGATTTGGCAGCAGCGGTACCCACTCGCATCCGAACAACAAGATCATCATCCTTTCTCTTTATTCCCTTTCTCCCCTCTGGTGGCGGTGGTGGAGATGGCTGTGAAGGCCCAGCCTAATACTTAAGAGTTATGGACAGGTGTCACAGAGGAGTATGGGTAGTGGATGCGGCTGGGTAGGTTAGACCCTCCTGACAGCATGTCGTAAATCTTCTTCATGTTGACGGTTGGACTCGAAAGTCAACTCTCAGATGGCTCTACACCAGGAAAGCCGATTTGCAGCAATGGTTTCCCAGGTCAATGTTGGCATGTGTCAGGGATGTTTTCACTTGATCCTTGAAGCATTGTTTTGGGCCTCCACATAGCCTCTTGTCACTGGCGAATCCTCCAAACAGGATGATACATGGGAGCGTCAGGTGGGACACATCCTGGACACGTGACCCGCCCAGCAGAGGTGATGTACAAGAAATTAAATGTTGAATTTAATATCCAAAGTTCAGGGAAAGTTCCATATTGACAACTTTAGACTTAAAATAATAAAATGTCATAAATTGAAATCTCAGGAATGTCTAAGGAATAAAGTACTAGATATGCAATTCAATTTGACAGTGATTCAGAACAGCTCCAAAGACCTGAAACCACAAGATCAAAACATAAGGAATTACCTATTTCTGACATTCCAATTCAAGCTTAAAGAATGTCTAATTAATATATTAATACACTCATTATTTCATAAATACAGTTTTCAATATGAAAACAAGTGAAGCAGTTGAGATAAATGGTGATTTTACTGACATTAGACAATGAATATGTTTTAGAAGTAAATAAAAAAGATTATACAAAAGAATACTAAAGTCTTGGTATGACCCATTTTCAAAACTCTGAACAAACATCAATTTATTTTTTTTTAAGGGCTTCCTGCTCAAGCCAATAAATCTTCAACATCTCTTCATAATTCCAGAAATAAAAAAGCATTTACTAATAAGGTAAGGTATGCAATATATTTGTAGATTTTACAAGGAAAGAAGAATTGCAATTACTTGTTAAATACCCATCCAATGAACAGAAAAGTTGTCATAAAAGTTCTATTTTCTAAAGTTCCTTTTGTCCATTTGAATTTCCTACTCTGGGATTAGCTGACCATGAGATAATCATTTTAATAATTTTCTAATGTCTATATTAATAAAAAAAATGAATTTAGCAAACTTACTATTTTTTCACTTGCTTAAAAAATTTGGTAGAGTTTTAAGAAAATCCTGTATTTTAACTTACTTGATAATTCCACAAACATTTTTTTCAGCTCTGTTCAACTAATTTATAGTAATATGAAATTTCAGATGACAACAATGCTTATTATGAATGCTGTAGTTTTTTTTATCTTACAACTGAATTTTAACAAGGCTATATAAATTTTTTCTATACAACAAAAATTTCTTAAAAAAAAAAATTATCAACAGAAACATTTTTTTATATATAGCAATTTTTAAAATTTGAAAATTCAACAGTGACAAAGACTTACCTCAATGTTTTGTCGAGGATAGGTAATCTTTGGGTGGGTGTTAGAAGCAAATAAGAAATGATAAATAACAGTCAAATAGGACTGATATGTCATCAAGGTATAGTCCTGTTGCTTGTTGATGTAATTTGTCAATTCATCCACAAAACCAAGCCAATGAAGTGCCATATTAATCTAGAAAAAAAACATAAGGTAACTCCGAGTTAATGATGTTAATTATTGTTGTGGAGTAAATAGTAATAGTACAGCCCTGGTGACTATATGAACTAGTTTATAACTAAAAATAAAGAGCTCCAGGTCAGAGGGGAGAAAGAAGCTGTTTCGAGTCAGTCTTCATACTAAGTAATACAGGTGTCACGACAAGTAGCTGAAGCATTATGTATAAGCGCTATGAAGCGCATTATAATATTGACAACAACATATTCAAAACTCAGGTGGTTTATAATTGTTGTGACGAGGATTCGGAACTCTTACAACTTATAACAATAATGAGGATTCAGGAACTCATACGAGTTGTAACTGGAGTTACAAGAATTTTGGAAACTCATACTGAGTTAACAAACATGGAGAAAATATACTTGTTGCTTCAGGATGCAGGTAACAAGAATTTTAACCACGTTGGTGTAGAAAAAAATTCCTTGCAAATATAGAGCAAATTTTGGCTTTGAGAGTTGAAATTCAATAACATTAACATCAGAAGTTGCTAGAACTATTAAAACAACAACAGGAATTGTTAGATATAATTCTGAAAAAAACAAAATATTCTTCAATGTCTCTTACACCAGACGCTGGCCAAAACACCATATCAGAACTTGTATATAATTCTGATGAGTGATTTTTCTGTGTATTTTGGTAGATATGAACAAATATTCAGTTAGGAATGCAGTGGCTGGGAAGATGAGAGAAAAGCAAGATTGTTGTTGAGGAAAACAGCTCCAACAGAGAATGAAAAATATTGCAATTACTTATTATTTAAAAAAAAAAAAAAAAAACAGGTGAAATCGGGTACACATTCTGATGAAAATCTTTAGTGACAAGAGCTCTCTGTTTAATGCTCACTGGAGGTGACAAAATCTTTGTCCTTTTTTTGGTCAGATTCATGATCTAACCAAAAAAAGGACAAAGATTTTGTCACATATGCTGGTATTGTCAACAAAGAATGTGAAAAGTTTAGAAAAAAGGAATGACTCCAGATATGTTCAATGGGTTAATTTTTGTTCAAGATAAAAAGAAGCTTAAATATGAGCAAAAATTTTAATAAAAATTTTGAAAAGCTGTAATATTACACTGCAAGAAATAATGGACGATTGCCAGACAATTTTAAATCTGAAACACAATGTTGAAGAAATTCAGAAAAAAGAATATGCATTGGTATAAGTAAAGGACAAATGTACAAAATGGAGAATAAACCCTAGTTTCAGATGTGGTAAATTACATCTCGGAAAAGACTGTCCATCTAAAAATGCAGAATGTTACAAGTGTGGTAAATGAAGACATAAAAATCACACTGCAAAGCCAAACCAAGGAAGAAATTCGTACACAGCATTGCAATGGAAAAATTGATCACAGAAAACAAAAGGAAATTTGTGAATGTGAAAATAAATAATGTGGTTGTGAAAATGCCACTGGACATTGGTAGTAATATTTCAATAATCAGTGAAACCACGTGGAAGGAAACTGAAAAGCCTTTATTAACATTTACCTCACCAAATTTCTTCTAGAAGGGTTCACCCAGTAACTGCATTTTTTTTTAAGGTACAAAAAACATGAGTACCAACTGTTTTAAAATTGTTATAACTTTCTTTGTATTGTGTGTATAGAAATTTTTTGTATACTAATAAAAGAATGGATGAGTAATATTTTGATGCAATGCATTATGTTTTGCATGCCTATTTTGACATTGAAAAATTGCAACACAAAATAAAAAAAAAATAATAATAAATAAAAAAACAAATACATTAACAATTTATTATACTTTAACTTTTATTACTCCTTGTGGAGTTTTGGGATGCAATAAAAAGCAAAATGTCTAAGAAGGTCTTCATTTCATCAAACGTTAGGTCTTTCTACATCTTTACATACAAGTAAACAACAGCATTTGTTGTTTCCTTTCCTTCACTTGACTAGCATATTTATTTGTCTCAGAAAGGCCATCAGGTACATCCATGGGGCCAGTAGTTCCAATAAAATTAGTCAACCATGGATGATAGTAGCTGCTTGGCACTTTGTGGTCATCATAGCTTTCCTCCTCATCACTAGTGTGGTTATCATCATCATCAACTACTTCACCACTGATATCCACTTGAGGAAAGCCTTCAAAATCATCATTGGAGTCTGAATAAAAAAAAAACTACTGAATAAAGGTTCCATTGGATGTTGATGGAGCCATTTTTGTTTAGAAAAATTGCAACAAAATTAACAAGGGTTTAATAAATGTTACACCTTGTGTAGAGTGTAGAAAAATTAAAAATGGCATCAGAAAACAGAAGTTTGGCCTCGTTCCAAAGTGGGGGTAGGCTATTTCCAGCTTAAAATACCGGAAATAACATTTGACAAGTGTTTATTCATAGCAACCTTCTCAAGGTGACAGAATGCACCGACAGCTGCAATGGGAGAGAATTTTACAGCGACAATTTTCACCTCCAGCTAGCTAGAGGTTAAAAAGGATTTCTAAAGTCGCGATTTCAGTTACTGGTAAAAAAATTACTTTATTTTGGAGAAATGACTTGTAATGTCTCATTCCATAATAAGCATATAAAAACTAAAGCTTATATATTAAAAATGCCATGAATTTATTCAGTACTGACGAGATGAATCTATTTGAAATTTGGGATTGGCCAATAAACGTTTATTGTAAAAACATAAGTGGACCAGTGACCAATTTAAAAAGTTAGTGAGTGAAAATCTTAAGGAAGAATTAAAAAAATGGTTTCTAGATGTTTTGTCAAATGAACTGGGTCGGTGTTCAAAATTGAAGGTGGATTTTCAAGTAAAAAAAGTTTAATGTCAATATTTAAGCCAAAACAGAGCATACCATTCACAACATTGGAGCAAGTCAAAAAACAGTTGAACAGACTCGAAAGAACTGATGTAATAGAAAAAAAATTAACCATTCAATCCCATGTTAAAATCTTGCTGGATTCACCTTTTTCACTCTGGTCACCTTCACACCAAGATGGCTCCCCTGAATCCTCATCCACAAGGTCCTCCCCACCTTCTTGAATAGCAAGTTTAATGGCACCTCTGTGCCCAACAATTCTACCTTGTCTTGTTCTAAGTTCAGCTTAGCTTTTACTTTCATTAATGACTTCAAACTCAGCAACATGGGAATGACTGAGTCAACTGTATCCACTTTAATAATAACATTTTTTCCATCAATTCTACATGGCAGCTGACAGGAAATTAGAGATTTTAACTGAATAAATTACAGAATATGACTGTTCCAGTTGTACCCATCATTACTGAAGCACTTGACAGAGTACTAAAATACTTTGCATAAAAATCAAAAGAAAGTGTTGGAATCTGTTTACATTAAGTCCTACCAGACATCTCTTCTGTAAGCAGGAGAACTGGTTGGTGAGCTTAAAGGTAATTGTAAGTGTTAAATTTTCTTTCATATAACTTTAGTCGCTGTATGCTTTTTGTCTTTGATCTGATGTGAGAAGACTAAAAACTGGTTTAGCTGTCTTCTTGTTAATCATGTTGTATTACCATTTTTCAGGATTTTTTTTTGTTACTCACCCTTTTTTTTATGAATTTTCTTCTTGTTTTAACATGTCAGTTTTTGTCACATTAATTAAATCAAAAGAATTAGAAATCTAAAACAGAACTGAAACTACTGAGATGATAGCATTACTGAGTCAACCAGAATATTGAGGAAAGTGTTAAAACAAGAAGAAAACATCCCACACAGACATCCTCCTTTTTTCTCCTATATGTCATACTCTGATGTAGCTTTAATAAAAGTGAAACATGTCAGATTGATAAATGTTTCCTATTTGTTCTTTAGTAACATATATACAAATATATTAAAACAGGGGAAATGAACAAGAAAAAAATTTCTCACTGGTAAATTGAAAAATATTAACCTTTATCATGCTGAAGGTGATAATTGTTGCCGTAGAATTCTCTCCCTTTGCTACTCTAGGTGCATTCTGTCACCTTGAGACAGTTTCTAAACACTTGTCAATTGTTATTTCCGATATTTTAAGCTAAAAATCACCTACTACTGCTTTGGAATAATGTTAAATTTCAATTTTCTGACACCATTTTGAATTTTTCTAGACTATATATGGCGTAACACCAATTAAACCCACATTAATTTTTTTTCACGATTTTTTGTAAAAATATCAAATGAAGCATTTATTCAGCAGTTTTTTGGTTTTTTAATGTATTTGTTTATTATTTCAATGTCAAAACATGAATGCAAAACATAATGCATCATATAATGCATTACATCAAAATATTACTCATCCATTCTTTTATTAGTATACAAAAAAAAATCTATACACACAATACAAATGAAGTTATAACAATTTTAAAATAGTAGGTGTTCATGTTTTTGCACCTCCAAAAAAAAAAAAAAAAAATGTTGCAGGGGGAACAATTCTAGAAAGAAATTAGTGTGGTAAAGGTTAATAAAATTTAGATATTTATGTTTTTGTGCTAAATTAATGTTCATCTTAGTAAGTACATATAGTAAATGAATATATGAATTTTGGGGCTGGTAAACCTTATATCATTGACTTCTGTAACAAACTGATGTGTTTGTAGAGATCTCCAGTGCCAGGTCAAAGATTAATACAGATATAGCTGGTGAGAAACTAGAACCCCAGTGCCAAAATTAATACAGACATAATTGGTGTAGGCAGATCCCCAGTGTCAAGTCAATCATTAATATAGATGTAACTGGTGTGAGGATAGATCCCCAGTGCCAAGCCAAACATTAATACATACTGTGTAGACTTTATACTTAACTTGATTTAATGAACTAATGATTTTGTCTTCAATATTTCCGTTGGTATATTCTCCAACCTTCATCAGGTCAAATATATTCAGTAAACTAAGAACTATCAAAAAGGACTTGATTTCATTTA